ATTATAAAAATTACTGTAAAAAATATATAAAATATAGAAAGATGTAACTTAAACTAAAATCTCAATTCTTTTTTGATCGAGGCGCAGTTTATGCCTCTTATCTGTATTTTAACCGTAGAAAGTAAAGTGTCGCAATTCTTCCAAGGTACTTTCGGCGATCTGTGGTTAAAAAAAAAAATAAAGATTTTAAAAATGTATTCATCCGAAAAAAACTTAAGAAAATCTTGCGCAGGCCGTTGCAGTTTTAAGCTCACCTCTCGCAATTCCAGATTGTCATCGTCTGCTAACTCTTCAATTGCTTTTTTTATATCTGTACACCAAACACTTTGTAAACCGCGCAGACTAAAGCGCGCCAGCAAGCGAAAAAGCATACACATGCGCATGCGTATCAAGTCATCAGCATTGCCAAGCAACGCCACCATATTTAATTTGCTGTTGAATATGACTTTTTCCACCAAATCCGCATTTTCTGGCAACTCACGCAATACGCATATTAGCAGACCCAATATATTAGTCGAAATGCGCACAGCGTTCGCGTTTCGGAAATCTGAAAACCAAGCGTTTGTAGCCAGTATGTACGTACTGTAAATATATTGCTGTTCTACCTACCATGTTGCAACAAATTAATCAGCAATTCATTCGCTGCCAAAATGGCAACTGCATCACAAAACTGCGAGAGAAATTGCTGCTTCAAATGCACTAGATGACATATCAATTCGTACAGACGCGAAATGGTGCGTATTTCTTCGCAATTAAGTTCAGCCATGGAACGCACTGCACGCCCTCCATGTGAATGCGTCAACGAGGCGCTCGAATCGCCGGTGCCTTTGTGATAAATCAGCAATTTAGAAGCATACATGAGATTTGGGACGAGCTTTACGTCGATATAAACCTTATAGCAATGCGAAAATTATTTAAACTTTACTTAGAACGGTGCGAGTATAGTATGAATATAGGCTTACATTTTGTATTAACTCAATAACGCATGGAGACTCATCAGATACAAAGGGCAACGATAAGAGCTGTGCAACGCTATCCACCACTTTAGGTATAGCTTTTGAATTGCGTAACGGCGCCACTATGATGCTTACCTAAAGAGAAGGGAGGTGAAATGATCAGCAGAAAAAATAACGGTAGGTTTAAGCTACATTTTTTCAATCAAACGATAAATGTATTTACCAAATTGTGTTGCTTCAACGAGTCCATTTCACCGTCCAGCACTTCCTGCATTGTGCGATTTAAAAACGCCAACCACTCATCATTTTCAATAGGCGGACTTTGCGACTCGTCACATGAATCCCAGCCAGGAAGCAGACATGGTGGTGAATTTCTATAAAAGGTTCTTTTAACATATTAAATTTTCGTTATTTTAAAAGTTGTATACCCAGTGCTGCGCTTCTCATCTGCCGAATGCATTATACTCTTGTTACACTTTTGTTCTTTTTCCTTATCCTTATCTTTATCTCTGCGCTCTACAGTTTTGCGTGGTTCGGAATCGAAGCCCTGTCCCAAGCGTAGCGAAAAATTATCCAAATTCTGACTAAGCTTACGTTTTTCCAAATCTTTGCTGCGCGATGCCTTAACATTTGTATTGGTAACCAAAGGTGTTTCTTGCAATTTGGTGCTTTCAGTTGGCGATTTTTTACTTTGCTGATGCGGCTGATGATGTGGCGGTGATGAATTTGTGTTTGCAGCATACATAAAATTATCGTTCATGTGATTGAGTATCATGTTTGTATTACCGCTGACAAAGCAGGTTTGCGAATTAATTACAGGCGCCGCAGCAGCAGCTTCCGTTACTATATTAAAATGAGGTATAATGATATCGACATCATGGTTTTTGATAACTGAAGTATTCTTATAGGATTGATCAGCAAATGGAACCGTAACATTGTTAATGTTCTCTTCAACATCTGTTTCGAGATTCTCAATATCGCTTGGCGGTATTGCATTGATACTGTCACGTGAGGAAGTCATATTTTCGTTTGTGCAAAGAGAAGCGTTTGCGAGGCTCATTGAGGCAACTTGCTTCGAGATATCGTCCGTTTTGGAGCTGGAAGTGCATGTAAGATAGTGTAATTTAGTAAAACAAGATATTCGATACGCGTTTAAAAATTATTCTACCGTTGGCTGCGAGAACATCTTGAGATCTTTTGTTTTTGTGGATTTGTGAATGGTGAATTGTTAGCCTTGATGCCCGAGATGAAGAGTTTGCCTTCGACAAACTGATGACAAAGTATTTCTGTCCACGATATGCGCAATGAGGGATCTTTTTCCAACAGACCCTGCAAATAAATTTATTTTAGTATAAAATGCGCACTAATATGTGACTTTTTTTAATTACCTGCAAAAAAGACCGGCAGTCGCTACTTAAAAAGGTTGGCCACTTCACCTCTTCATGTTTGATCAGCTTCACCAAGTGCAAGATAGATGTTGTGCAGAAAGGAGGCGCACCTGCCAGACATTCATATGATATACATCCCAGCGACCATAAGTCCGCTTGGTGATCGTAAGGTTGCTCAGCTAACAACTCTGGTGCCATGTACAACGGTGTACCTTTTATGGAAGTCAAAACGTGTGTGCCCATAGTCATGTTGCGTGCCAAACCAAAGTCGCACAACTTGGCATGCAAATCCTCATTGAGCAATACATTTTGTGGTTTTAAATCTCTATGCAGTATACGATTCGAGTGCAGATAATAAAGCGCTGAAACTAAATGGCAAATGAGACGCTGCGCTTTATCCTCTGGCACAGCACCGTGTCGTGCAAGATACCGATGCAGGTCGATGGGGGCGAATTCTGTTACAACAATCAAATCGTTCTTTGTTTCGAATGACTCCAACATTTCAATGACATTTGTGTGCTTAAGATGCGCTTGTATTTCACATTCGCGACGGAGATTCTTTAGCTCGCGGCTGCTGCGACCACGCTTTAAAGATTTACAATTTTTGTATATGTATTAACGTCTGTTTACTGCATAAAGGATTTGGCTAATTCTACTTACCTTAGATATCACCTTAATTGCTACTACTTGTGCATCCTCTTTGCGTATAGCTTTGTATACGCGCCCAAAAGAGCCCTCGCCTATCAGCGAATTTACAGTATAGCGATTCATTACAACAGCCAAACTTGTAGTCTATTGTCGATATTAAAACGAATGAAATTCTATTTTTTAGTGTTTTATTTTAAATGTAATACAATAAAGTGACTACATAGTTAAGCAAAAAGTTTCTTATATTTTTTTAACAAATTAATTTATTAAAGCCGACAACGATTATAAAGACAGTACACAGGATTATTAATTTTGCAAAAAGAATTATCAAAACAAAACGTATACTTGTTGCTCTACGTTTACGTGAACAGCTGGCCGGCTGATGCGTTAATTCAAACCAGTGTTGGCAGGTTGTTTTAGTACGTTTTGTTTTAAACTTTTAGCAACCCTGTGCAAACATTCTCAGCCAGTGCTGCCAAGCTTTTGCTTTCCCTGGGAATCAGTACGGAAACTTGAAGCTTGTAGCCATCGTACAGTTTCCTAAATAAAAACACTATCAGCTGAGATCACCTGTTTTTTGGCAGTTGCTCTTTTCTATTACAATTTCTTTGATTTCTATTACAATTTCTCCCATTTCCATAACAATTTATTCAAAATACACTAACACATTGAACCAAAAACACCAATATACAAACCAAAAACGCACCTACAGCCCATGATTTAATAATTAAAGGTTTGCTCATTAGTGACATTCGAGTTTTGACACTCCCTTAGCTCACTTACAAAAGCTTTTCACACACACACGAACCCACACACAGTGCCTTGTTAATAAAGCCGATTTTTTCAAGAGATAGCGTAAAAACTGATTTTTGGGCAAACCTTTTATTATTGAATCATGCCTACAGCTGATTGTTTTTGGGTGGGATTGACAACCTACCAATCAATCTTGGTTGTTTGGTACAAACACAGGGTTGCATATCTCTATTTAAATGGCCATTTAAGTGCAAATTAAATGCATGATCTGAAAACGATTAGAAGAAGTTAATCAACAATCTCTTCTTAAATAGGCTATCTGAAATTGGGCCTAAGCTACTCGAGTTTCCGTGTTTGAACGCAGACTAAGCTGTCTCTAGTCACTAACAGGTCTATTCTGCGCTGGTAATACAAATTTTGTAACCGGTAAATAAAGTTCCTGTAAATTTTTAAACCCTTTTCGCATTCTGTGTACTCTTGTAACCGGTAAATTTATATACTCGTATCTAAGGGTGGGTAACTCTGTAAATTTTGGTGTGCTGACTCAGTAACTCCAACTCACTTTAATGAGTCAGCACAGAGAGCTGGCACAAGTGTGCTATCGCACAATTGGTATATGCATCGAAATTATTGACGATGTTAGTAACCGAAATCGATTTAGAAAAGGTTATCCTTAGCTTCTATTCGTAGCTGGCCGGGAAAATTTTAGAAAGCTGATTTCAACTGGTGAGTTCATTTGCGAATAAATGCCCTACTTAGTTTTGCTTGAGAGTTGTCACATAAGAATCTGTTAAATGGGCTATGCATGTAAGCGGTTACCCAACGCATAGCACTTCACATGTAGAATTCTGTTTGGTTTTGACTTTTACGTAAAAAGGGTATAGCAGTGCAAGTATGCATAACTGGGCTATTCACCTAGCTTCTTGTTAAATTTGGTAGTCGTATATTCAACTGATGGTAAGTCTCGTGATGCCATCTATTATGGTACTTTTTGGAAGATCGTATTGTGTGAATGTGTCAGCTCATCAATTGAGTTACCACATCGACACAGTTCTAAACAATGCAGCCGAACCGAGCTATGCTAGTGTCAGCACATCAACTGAGTTACCATATCGACACTGAAGCACACTGAGCTATACATTGTCAGCACATAAACTGAGTTACTGAGTTACAAATTTTTTCAGAGGTGAGTCTGAGCGTGCGGCACATTTCTAAGAGTCAGCACAGTAACTCAGCACAGTGCTGAGTTACCCACCTCTACTCGTATCGTTTCATACCTAACCGGGACTTTTGTTATCAATCAAGTTGGATGGTTTTATTTTTGATAAGTAAATTATCTCCGTTGTCCGTTGGTTGCAAATATCTTTGTAGACACACATAATCGCAAATCAACTAATAGAAAGAACATGATGAAGTGACAAAGAAATCATTTTAAGTGCATCGCGACAAATAACTGTATGTATGTATGCAACTGCATGCAAATGTATGTAATTCTGATGTTTTCTAATCATTAATTAAACATAACAGTAGAAACTGACGTGGCCGTCAATTCTAGCAATTCCTAATAGCATACGAGTGTGTGGCGTTATGATCATTGCTTTTATAAGCTGAACGCTGGGTAATTCGGTGCATAGTCTGATTACGTACAGGTTTAGAAGAGCATTACCGGACGTGGAGGTTGACACTAGGTAAATATGTAAATAATATAAAAGATTGGCGCTTACATTCACACAAAGTGTGAACCAAAATCAATCACGCGCCCATCTCAAGTGCATTATATTAAAACCAGCCTCCCCACTATAGTTAATATGCCGTACTAACGCAGATATTGGGTTGGCTTTCCACTAAGGGCAGTCGTTAAAGGGGCGGTGGGCGAAGGGGGAGTGGGCGTGGCATCTCCAACCACCCTTTTTGGAGAGGACATGAACCGCCATTGACAAAAATGTCACCCCCGACGTAGGCCCCCTATGGTTCCCTTGGGATCCCTTAGAAAAATGGCAAAAAATTACAAGTTTCCCCCAGATATATTTCTGTGAAGGCTAAATAATAAAAAAATTCACACAACCATAACTCACAAACAGAGGTCAAAAATATCCATCCCCAATTTGAAAGTATCGTAAAATAACCGTCAATAGTTAAGAGAAAAAATAACCCACAAAACAGAACAGGTGGTTTATGCGGAGCCATTCAAATTATTAATTTTGTCTTGTGTAAATATTAAAGTATAAAGTACATACATATTTAGAAAGTTTAATTAACTATTTTTCTTTATAGCGCAAATATGAGTTTATCAGATATTTCGAGCAAATTCACTGAAAAAACTTTGGACGAAATTGTCCAAAAGGCAGGTGGTACCAAACACACTTCCTACAAATTTGGGCCAGGTTTCAAGAAGGGCGATTCTTATCTAAGCAAAGTGTTTCGGCTCACTGTTGACGGCGTTAATGAGAAAAATGGGTACATACACAAATTACTTATTTTAAACTTAAAACTAGTTTTTTGTTAATAACTAAAAAAAAACAATTATCATTATTTCAGCTCGGTCCTTGATCTCCATCTCATTTGCAAAGGTATGCCCGACAACGTCGCACGCAGAAAAGTATTTCATTCCGCCGACTTCTTTCGCAATGAAATAAACTTCTACACAAAGGTTGTCCCTGCCTGGGAGGCTTTCCAAGCTCGTCGCAAGCCCGCAAATCCTTTTACCGAATATCCAAGATGTTTTGCATCACATTGTGATGGCGAAAACGATTTCATTGCACTAGAAAATGTCAGTTTCCGAGGTTATGGTGCACCAAACAGACAAGATTATATTTCATTGGAAGATGCTTTGTTGACAATGCGAACATTGGGTCGATTTCACGGTATTTCTTTGGCTTTCCGCGCTTTGGAACCAGAAAACTTTGAGGCGGCAGCAAAAGGTTTGGAGGTAAGAGACGTAATTGTAAATCATTTTCTTAAAATGAAACAAAGTTACTATTCTACTCCTCTTAAAACGTTCAACTTTTCAGGAAACCTACTACAATGAAGGTAAACGTTCCTGGTACATTGGCTTTCTTGGTTTAGCCTGCAATGTAGCCAAAGATGCTATTGAAAAAACCTATCCCGGCACTAAATACGAAACTATAGCTGCTAAATTTTTACAACCTACACCGCTGTATGACGATCTTATCAAGCTCGTATCTGCAGATTGTATGTGAAAATGATTCTTTAGAATTTAGATTTGAAGTTTATTCTTTTCGTAAAAAAATTTCCAGCTCCCTTAGCTGCTATTGGACATGGCGATTGTTGGACGCCAAATTTCTTAACTCGTTACTCAAAAGACAATAGTCCAGAGGCAATTATAATAATTGATTTTCAATTGGCGCGTCGAGCTTCTATCGCTTTAGATATATCATTCTTCATATACTCTTGTACAAGTGAGGAGCTGCGGGCGAGGCACTATGAACAGCTATTGAAAGTAAAAAAAAAAAAACTTATTCGATTTCCCTTTACTCAATATCAATACATCCCTTTTATACCACTTTCAGGAATACCACCAAAGTGCTTCTGCACTCATCGCCGACTTAGGCGCTGATGTGTCAACTGTTTTGAGTTGGCAAGCATTTCAAAATGAGCTGCAACATTTTGCTCGCTTCGGTTGTGGCATGGGTATTGAGTCACTGCCCATGTCACTTATCGAAGATGATGAAGTCGCCGATTTGGATGATATGAAGGAGGATGCGGTGCTCACTGATGTTTGGAACATCAAACCGTTCAAGGAGCAAAGAAAGCGCGAACGTATTGCACAGATATTCAAACATGCCATCGATCAAAGCTATATAAAGAATTAAAGTCACAATAAGTACAATAAAATTGCCTATACATATATTTTTAGTCAAAAATTGTAACATTCATTTTTATTTTTAATATTACTATATGCGAATTTAAATAAATACATTTCTGTACATATTTTAAAACTCCTACCGTTATTCAGAAAATACTTTCTATTTAACTACATCGGCCATTAAACGTTCTGCCAGCACAAATCATATATGCCTTAGTAGACTGAATAGTTTGGGTTTGGTCGGTACACTCGAAATAATATGACTATTTATAGTAAATTTATTAAATCAAAAACTGTTTGAAAGAAAAAAATCTTATATTTTCACTTAAGTTAACTGCTTACGACTAATATTTGATTTAAATTGAATTCTTTTATATTCCTTGAAATCTATTTTGTTTTAGTTCACTTTGGATGCGTTTCTTTATACACTCCAGATAATCCCATTTCACAGCCAGAATAAACAGAATGCGTTTGAAATATACGTTAACATATCATAAGGAACGTTCTAAATAATAAGTAAACAAACAAGTTTATTCCAAAGGTTCAGAAGGAATAAAGAAATACAGCCGTTATTTACTTTTATAAAATTTTTGCAAAGATTGGAAATAACAATTATCAACTTAAAGTATTCACATAATAACATCTCTCAGGAGGAAATTGTGTTATCAATAACTTTTATAGTCTATGATATTTCGTCGTACGAGTATTGCCTTCAAGTATAAATGAAATAAACTATTACCACGGTAGAGTACCTTTTCCGACTGGGTTGACTCTCACTTTCACCTGCAGGCGGTTGTTCGATGATAGCCTTCTTTTGCAACCGAATAGCGAAACGACATTACAAACGTAAAACGTTAAACGTAAAATTTTAAACACCGCGATGGCTACTCCATCTCTATAATAAGCCTGCCTTACTGCGAACAAATATTCCCAAAAAGTATAAAGACGAAAGGTAAAGACAACGTCGCCCTTACATTTGGCCGCAATTCATTGCACAGCCTAAAAGATATAAAGCTTCGCCGCAGTGTGCTGCGGAAAGCACGTATGTAAACTCCCTCCCAAGACACGCCAATGTGCTTTACAACGGAAGAGACGCAAGCCGCTGTCAACAATGCTCAGACGTCAGGCCCACTAGGAATCTCCATGCATAAGCTGAAAAAGCTAGGACCTGCGGAAGTCGAGTACATAACCGCCGCTTTCAACTTTTGCCCGTCCACCCTGATCATCCCTGAGATATTGAAAATTGGTAGGATCATTCCCATTTTTAAGCCAGGGAAGATGGCGGGTGCAGAAGATTCGTATAGACCCATCTGCCTCCTATACCCAGCGACAAAAACAATGGAAGCAGCACTCCTCAGTCTGACGAATCAAGTGAACACCAGCATGCATTCCGAAAAATGCACAGCATTGAGCGCCATCACCGCACAGATAAACGAGGGTCTGAAACAACGTCGACCAGGTAATAGAATAATAGTGGATAACCAACTATTTGTTTCAAGCAGTTAAATTCAGCAACAACAAGTCTAAGCCGCGTAGAGTTCCTAGACCGAGGAGATTAGGCTCGAACTAGACGTTGATGGCGCCAAAATACCGACAGTCAACCACCTGGAAATTCACTTGTAACAAACTGTGAGCCGGGAACTAAGTCCTCAAGTCGCTAGCCGGAAGCACCTAAAGAATCGACTAGAAGACTCTGTTCACAACTTACAAAGAGATCCTCCGGTCGGTCGCAAGCTTCGCAGCGCCAGTGTTGGCAGAACACAACATAATGTGCTCGATGTCATCGCAGGAACCACGCTTTGCTACGAAGCGATCCCTGACCCCGGAAACCTTATGAACTGCGCCCGCTTTCTTGGCCTCAGGCTTGCAGAGGCGGAGGATGAAGATGACTCATAATGGAACCCCGCAGGGTTGAGAACTGCATATGTATGTAAATGTACAACACGCCATCGATCTAGGCTATATCAAAACACTAGTCACAGAACGTACTTGTGAGCAATCATATCCAAGCATATTAAGGGCCGGTTGTTCAATGTCTGATTAGCACAAATCGGAGGTAGAAGCTCCGGTTAAGCACAACTACTGCTTTATCGATCACATGTTACATGCATGATGTCGAAATCGTCGATAGTGTAGTGGTAGTGATAACCAGACATTGAACAACCGGCCCTAAGTATGTTAAAAAGAATAACTGTTTTATTTTTTCTTACCAATATACAATTTTAAATAATTCTTCATACATATATATATATATCTAAAAACACTGACCCTCATTCAGCACACACCATTTCGGTACTACCGCGTCAGCTTTGATGCCTCGTGATATAAGACGTTCTCGGTAACGCAAAAATCGTGTTTGCACCAGTAGGCTGGATAGTTTCGGATTCGCCCACAGTCGCTCAGCTGCGGCACCAGTGCGCGGCCAAGTGCGTGATTCTTTTGTCAAAACAAACAAAATTATTACTGCTTACCTCGAATGTATTTTCACATCCACTTACCTATAGAACTTTGATCCACAAACTCACTCCACATGCACACCTCACCGCCCAATACCAAAGGATGCACTTCCATGCGATTGTCATAGACAGTTTTCCAATTGTAGTAGCTTGTGCGACCCCAAAAACCATGATCCAAATACCAGGCATTCTTCGTAGATACTATAAGGCGATATCCCTTCAACAGTAAATCGTTGTTCAGAGTTTTATCTGACTCTACCCACGTCTGTATGATGAAACGTTCTTTTGGCAAATGTTCGGCTATAATGCCGGGGTCGGTTAAATGACTGGACCAAAGTATAACCGATTTAGGTACTGCAATACGTGGATATTGCCGTTGTGTTACATTGTCCCACGAGTCTAGGTTCTTGCGATGAAACTCCGACCATACCTTGTAAAAGCTGCGCAAACTTAAATCATAGCCTGTCTTAAGCATACTTCGCGTTATTTCCGCGGTACTATTCCAGCAGGGTATAAATACTTCGTCGCCACCCATATGTATGGTCTCTTCCGGTGCATTCACCTCAGCGAGATCTTCATAAATTTCCTTCATTATGCCATACATATTCTCGTTAAGTGGATTTAATTGGCCGCATGGCGGCTCGATGCAATAGGAGCGCCAGGGCTGTTGGTTTACGCATACCGCCATGTTGCCAAGGCCTGACATGGGGCCCCACTGCCAACCATTGCCGGCATGTGAAGGCCCATCGATTTCGATAATGATGCGTATACCACGAAGGCGTGCATAGCGCACCATATTGTGGGTGTCGGTGCGAGAGTAAACCATGTCGGGTCGATAAGCACCAAATCTAGAGATGGAAACACGAAAATATGGGTACATAAATATATAAAATTAAATTTATTAAAATTTTTTTTTTGTTCGTTGTTTTTTATTTTAATTACTTTTTAGATTTTATTTTTTTGAGAAGAAAATATATTTTTTAATTTTACTTAATTTTTAGCTTATTTTATTTATTTTTTCTTTTTTTAATTAAATTTTCTTTTAAAAGTTATTATTTTAAAAAAGATGACATTTTTTACTTTCACTTAAGTTTTAGCAACTTAATTAGTTTAGTACTTAGAATTTATTGTTTTAAAGAGGAAAAATTTTTTTATAATCATTTAATTTTTAGAAAGTCACTTTATAAATTTTTTTCTTTGTTTTAATTTAAGTATTTTTTATTTTTATTTTTGATTGTTATTTGTGATAATATAAAAATATTAACAGCCCATTTCACGAAAGCAATTTAAGTGAATTTTTTTTTTAATTTTTTGAATTTTAATATGGAAATGGACAGAGAATTAAAAATCGTTTTCCATTTAAATTGCTGGTGAAACCGGCTGTAAGAATTTTTTATTTCATTTAACTTTTAGAATACTTATTGCTAACAGGCAAACAGAAAAACGCTCAGACGTCCTGGTTAGCAGATTTTTCAATTAGCCTTTCGAAAGCCAGAAAAGAACTTTCAGCATAGGCTTTTGTCTTTCGAAAGGCTTTGATGAGTTGTCAGAATTGGCCTGTTATTCATGTAAATTCATAAAATCGCTGAGTTATAGCTGTTCATGTCAAAATTTTGTAGAATTTTTGGGGATTTATAAAAAAATCAATTTGTTCAAATTCTGGTAGCGACCCCTAACTTTTTTTTTTAAATTGTGAAATGTTCGCGGTTTTTATTATTTTGAATCTGATTTTGATATTTTTATATTTTTGCTTAAGTATTTTGTAAATTTTTTGCAACCATTTTCATTGTTTGTTTTCATATTTACTTAACTTCATAATCATTGCATACTCTCATCTAAAATGACTTACTGCTGTAATTCTGGAACTCGGGTAATTTCCAGTGGAAAACTTTGGGTATCCACCACATGCCAGTGGAGGACATTCATCTTTGATGCCGCCATAGCATCCAGAGTTCTGCTAATCAGTTTCAATGGTACGTAATTTCGGGCAGTGTCCAAAAGTAGGCCTCGATGGGGGTAAATGGGTCTATCGCGGACACGAGCAGCTTTCACCAACAACAGACCATTGCTTTTTTATTAAAAAAAAGTAGCAAAAACATAGGTAAACATGTAAATAAATAAGTTAGTAGTATACGTATGTATGTATGTTTATATGTCTACTGCACCTACTCTATGCTGCCCGTTATAAGGTTGCTTATCGTCTCCAGCGCATGTCTCGCCCCGTACACTGTTTGCGCTTTGATTTCAACAAAAGTGGCCATTTCTGCTTGCAATAATTTTAGCATACATAAATATAAATATATTAGCTACTAGTTGATACTTTGTTTTTATTTTTATGCGCACCTGTTGTTCGTATAGTCAACGCATAGGTCTCATTTGTGTCCCAATCCAAAACCAGACTATTCGAACTCACTGTAATCTTTACTAGCACCTCTTTGCTGTCGGGCAGTGTACAATTTCGCACACACTCCTTCAGAATGTTGCTAAGGAAAATGCGATTCGATTCGCGCACATATTGCGTGCTAGCCGGATCGGGTGCAGCCACATTGAATCTCACCTTCCAGGGATCGAAACGTATGCGTTCGTTCGACAGGGTGCAGTCGCCGGTGGGCATTGGCCATATGCCACCATACTTGCCACACGAAAGCCGACAATCATTTTGGCTCTCAAAACGCTTG